CTAGTAAAGGAAGACCAGCCTGGTTCTAGACTACAGAGTCTTTCAAAGATGAAGTTTACACAGATAGGCTTTTTTATAAAGTAATTATCAAACTTTAGAGTAGTTCCTTAAAATTTGATCTGTATGTTATCTTCTTTCAGGAATTTCAAGTCTTTACCAAATAAGATATTTTCATTCAATTATGGCCAATTAGTTCACAACATCCTAATGTTTACACCATCTATGTTTTGGTTGGGAGTTACAAGATTTTGGGATAATCTGGAGAAGCTGCACAGTTGGAAAGTCTACAGCTAACAGTGGATTAAAGGTAGTCCTTGCTTACTGACCACTCATTCAGTGACCATTCGAAACTATGACAACATTGAAAAAGGAGACTTATGACCCGTCTTCTTACTCGCGACTTGGGTACTTGGCAACCAGCACACATTTACGATGGTCACAACTATCTGCAGTCACAAGACTGTCATTTGCAACCTTCGCAGCAGGCTTCTGACAAGCAAAGTCAACGGGGAAGCCAGCAGGAAGTCACAAATCACGATCACATGATGTCACACTTAATGACCTGCGGTGATTTGCTTAATGACTGCAGCTGGAATTGATGTTGTAAGTCAGCATGGTCACATAATGTTTCACTTAACCACTGTGCTGCTTACTGTTGGAGTCACCAGTCCCAATTGCATTCAGTAAGTGGAACTACCTGTATATGAAAGCTGAAGCCACTAAGTTCACAAGTTTAGACTCCAGGACCATGCAAAACCATTATCAAAATACTGCAGGTACCTTAAAATCTAAAGCTGAGAAATGGGTGACAAAAAGTTCATCATCATATAAGGGTGGGAAAAAGGTACACAGGATTAAAGCTGGGAGCTGACATATAAATACAACTAGCTTCTACTGTACAGGATATTCATTGTTGTAAGAGCTTCTTTCATGTGTAAAATAAATGGAATTTATCTGAGTCTCGTTCTTGAATCTTCCACTGTTAAGCTCATGAGTGTGCACTCAGTACCTAGAAAGAGATGTACTGCTATGCCCAGGGTAAAGCTAATGAACAAGACAGACATTTTTCTTTCTGCCCCACTTTTACACAATATGATTCTGTAACAATCTTTAATCCAACCTCCTGCCTAGGGCAGGGATCCTCAGATGATCCCAGACAAATGGCTGTCCAACTTTTGTTTGAAAACCTCCAGTGATGGACCTCCTGGAGGCAGGCTGTTCCTCTGCTTAATAGCTCTTATGATAAGAAATTCCCTCTTATTACAAGTTTGTATCTCTTTTTGTAAAGTTTCTACTCACTGGTTTTTGTCCTACCCTCTATGTACCCCTTCATTGTCCACTATGAAGAATACAGACAGTCCTCAGTTAACAATGGTAATTGAGACTGGGAACTCCATTGTTAAGCAACACAGTCATAAAGCACAATGTCACATGACTGTGCCAACTTACGACAGTAGTTCCAGCAGTTCCAGTTGCCAAAGTTAGCTGAATCTAGCACAGGAGTTAGGCACAATGTAACACAATTGCCATTGCCATTTGCAATCTCCTGCTGGCTTCCCCAATGACTTTGTATGTTGGAAGCCAGCAGTGAAGGTTTCAAATGGTGATCATGTGACTGCGGGACACTGTGACAGCTCCAACTATGAGGACCGGTCGTAAGTCTCCTTATTCAATGTTATTGTGACTTTGAATGGTCGCTGAATGAAGACTACCTGTAAATCCATATCCTCTTCCCTGTGACAGCCTTTCAAGTATTAAAAGACTGCTATCAGTCTCTCCTTATCCTTCTCTTTCTCAGGCTCAACACACCTAGTTCCTTTAACCATTCTTTGTAGGATTTAGCCTCCAAGCCCTTCTCTGCACTCTTTCCAGTTCCATAGCATCCTTCTTGCACTGTGGTGATCAAAACTAGACACAGTATTCCAGGTGCAATCTGACCAGTGCAACACAGAACAAAACTATCACTCCCCATAAGCAAACATTTTACCTCTGCTGATGGAGCTCAATACTTTCTTGGCTTAAATCTATGATTTACTAAGAACACTCAGATCACAAGTACTACTGCCAAGCCGGGTGCTTGCATCTGTATTTCTCTAAGTGCAGAACCTTACATTTCTCACCACTGAACAGTATTTTGTTGGGTAGGGCCCAACATTCAAGTCTATAAAGATCCTTTTGAATCTTGAGACTATCTTCTGAAATGTTAGCACAAACACACCCCAGCCTTTGTGACATCTGCAGATTTTGTGAGCATCCCTCATCTAAGTCATTTATAAAAATGTTGAGGAACACAGGGCCCAGGACAGAACCTTGAGTACCCCACTCCATATAGATGTAGATGATTAAGGACCATGTGCTGGGTGCAGTTGTTCACCCAACTGCAAATCCCTCTATTGGTGGGACAGACCATCCATCCATCCCACAGTTTCATTTTTCAAGGAGGCGGCTATGGTCAACTTTATCAAGTGTTTTTCTGAAGTCTAGGTACACTACATCCAGTGTTCCCTTGGTCTATTAATCTAGTCAGTTTGTCAAAAAAAAAAAAGTAAGATTTGTCTGGCACAACTTATTTTTAACAAATCTATGCTGGTTTTTAGTAATCACCTTGTTCCTTTCTAAGGAATCCATTGCTTGACTATCTTTTCTAGGGTTTTCTCAGGTGTTGATGTTAAACTAATTATAGTTTCCTAAATCCACGTTTCCCCCTTTTTTAAAGATTGAAACAACATCAGCTTTTCTCCAATCTTTTGACACTTCTCTGTAGGAAGTATTTCTCAAAAGTTTATTAACTTGATTACTGAAGTAATTTTGTGAGTTCCTAATATACTGAATCATAAACTAACCAAATTTGCAAGGTTTATACATGTCAAAAAAAAACGCCTGACCAATGGCACAATTAACCAGGCTTCTCATTCTATACAAACAAGTCTACTAAGTCTTTAACTGATCTTGTTTGCTATGCTATGTGAACCTGTTATCCTTCACCTCCCACCCCCAAGCCCTTTTCAACATTTTCTCCAACATCTTCAAAAGAAAAATGACTTGTCCATACATGCTCCCAATTAGGAGCATGCAAAATTCATCAATTTAGAAACAGAACAATCTACAAAATTCTGGACCAGTTTGTTTTTCTGTAGTGCATGATAAACCTCTACCACAACCATACAATGCCAGGGTCAAGTTGTCAGTTCCTAGCAGTAAATCCTGAATCAGATGTAGTTTGAGCTGTTCCAGATGAAATATGGAATTCCTGGATTTACAAGTATTGCAAATCCCTATTCCCAACTATTCTCCTTTTTATTTATAAATTCTTTTCTCTGTAGAAGCTTTGCAGTATAATTATTTAGCTTAAATCAGTTTTCCCTAAACAGCTATTTTATCTGATTAAAGCCACTACTTTCATTTTGTACAATACCCCTAAGGGTTGGATCTACATTTTTGAAAGCCTCCATCTAAACATGCATTCTAGAAGTGATCAACAAACACTACATACAACCTTTTTGGCTACTAAGGTGTTGCTGTCTGCAGTGATTTACTTTTCCAGCAGTTTATAATCAATCTGGGCTTGTCTCTAAATTGTGAGCAGGCTGTTTAAATTTTGTAATGCAATAAAAATAGAATCATAACATAACATGGCACACTGCAGAGATCAAACAATAAAATGCAGAAGCAAAGATTTAAGCTAGACCCCCAAGTCCACAAAAATCCACATTGATTCTATTTAAGCCACTTAAATCCCAGAAAATTCTTACAAAGGGGGAAATTCATCTGGCACCAACAAGAGTACAGAGTAGGTAACAAACTTCCCTAAAGAAGGAATTCTACAACTGAACTGCTACTACAGATGTACAAAATTTAATATTTCAGGAACAGAACCCTTTAGGTAACTGGGACATTCAAGGGTTCAGTATTTTTTTAGAAGTAAATATTCCAAAAGTAATTGAAGGTGTTTCAGGAAAAAAAGGGAACTTTGCACACATCTACTTGCTATAATTAAAAAGACCTTCCTTGTAGTAGCTACTGGCTCAACCTCTGATTTACCCAAATAATCATAAATGCAGACCTCAACAACAGGTATATATGCAAGAAGGAGATCCTTCAGATAATCTTGCCAGCACCAAGGGTTTAAAGTTTAAAATTAGCTCTGAGTTGGTCTGGGAAGCTGACTGGAAATCAGCATAATTGAGAAAGCACTGGTTCATATTTGAAGTTTAGTTATGATTAAGAGCCTTGCAGCCCTATTAGAGTTACAAATCAATGTCAAAGATAGCTACAGTGTTAAATGCCATCATACAAACTGTAGAATTCTTACAGCCCCTGAGCAACTCAGAACAGACTACAAACTGCCAAGTGAGCTTTTCTGTCCTACAAGGGGGCGGGGTGGGAGAACTGTAGATACAAATCCAGTAAGATTTACATTAAAAGTAAGGCTGAGTGTATGTTTGCTGCTACAAATTAGCAAGTTCTCCAGCAACTTAACATGAGAGCCAGTAATGCCAGGAAAGAACAAAGTTTTAAGAGCTGCGCTCCTAGTATGTTTAGTGTACGGGTAGTCCCCAGGTTAAGAACGCCCAGGTTACAGATGACCCATAGTTAAGAACAGAGTTTACTGTACCAAAATTCAAGTTAAATACACAATGATTCAAGTTAATTACACGATACTACTTATACATCATTATACAGTAATATGTTCCGGCTTACATACAAATTCGCCTTAAGGAATGGTCTTAAACTGGGGACTACCTATATTTAACTCAGTAACACAAAACATTTCCAGGCCATTCATCTATTAGTTACTGAATGTGGAAGTTTATTCAGAACTGTTTGAAAAGTGCAGTGATTATATATATATATATATATATACACATACATACATACATACATACACACATACATACACACACACACACACACACACACAATCATTTTATACTTTTGAGAAAATTATCAAGCATCAAGACTATAAAAAAGAATTAAATATCTGCTATAGAATTACTCACCTACTACGAGTCCACATTCTGGACAAATCATGTCTCCAGCTCTATAATCTTCTACTAAAATGGAATCTGGGTGGTTTGGACATGTCACTCGAGGCAGAACGTCCAAGCTTTAAAAAATATAAAATTCAACTTTATATGACAATTTGCAGTAAATATTACCTGCTTTGTTTAATTTCTGAATTATTCATTTCTAGTGCTTTTGGAAAGTTCATTTTAAATGAAATTCACAGCTACAACTAACTGACATCATTTGCTAAAGTATTATATAACCCAGCCTTCCCCAGCTGGTGCTTTTCAGATGTGTTGGACTACTGTTGCCATCCATTATCATCAGCCATGCTATCCAGCTTGATGGACTCACCACTACCAAAATCAGGGGAGCGGGGGGCGGGTATGTGGAGGCAGGGAGAGAGTGGACAATCTGGTTCAATACTATGAAACTACATAAATGAAGATAGTTTATGTAGTTATTTAAAATTAATTGTTTAACATTATATGAAATTACTAATTAATTTAACTTAAAAGTCACATATAGTCCTGAATAGGAAACAAATTATGCAAAATTAAATACAGAGGCCACATGTAGCTGAACTAATCAAACTGATAAGTTGCTTATTGGTTATTTAAAAAAAAAATACTCCAATTCCTAGGTAATAGTACTGGAAGCAGGTGCACCATTCAAGAATACCAGTTTACAATACTGGAAAAATATCCAAAGTGTATGCCCAGTAAAATTCCTGATTTTTCTTCCTTTCAACAGAAGTTTCTATAATTACTTATCTATAGATTACAATCTATAGTATCTACAATTATCTACAATTACAATCAACAACCTTAAAATAATCCTACATGCAGCATTGTAGCCTGTTTTTAAAAGCAACTGCATCAAATTCAAGAAACAGGAGTACAATTATTATTTAAAAGAAGCATCTTAAACATACCCCATCTTAGATTTGCCACCCACTAACTAGGTGAGTAAGCTGTACTTTACATGAGCAAAATGGAAATCAGATCACTTAACTTTAATATAAGAGCTATTCTACTTGAATGCTGCATGTTACAATAGTGTTTTTGGCTGAAGGTATTAAAGGGAAGAACAGCCTTTTGTCATATCTGTTGGTGGTTCTAAAATTTAATGTTTAACTTCTTTGCAACAGGCCCATGGGATAAACAATATAAATATTAGCTACTCTTGCATGTAATAAGGAACCAGAATTCTGAAAAGTTCAAACTTATTCATAAACCGCATATTCATTCATAGTGCCCAATTTCTCTTCTTTAATCCTCCTGCCATTAACAAAATCTAAAACAAGCAGAATCCAACTGGAAGCTGAAATGCTACCAATACATCAAGAGGTCTCCTGGCTCCCCTAGATGCTCTCAAGTAAGTAAACTAACTTCAGACTATTTTTTTAAAAATGTACATTTTTATTCATCCTACTAAAATCATATCAAAGAAAAGGCATTCAGTATGTGTTTTTTGTTAACTTCATTGGTATCTCAGTTCAAAAATATCTGTTTTCCTTTATGCATATATAAATGTCATCCATGTTAGGAATCTGGAAGTAAAATAATATTCATAAACATAAGTAGTGTACAAGTTAAGAATACCAACAGCCTAGTGATAGAGAAAAATACACCTTTTATTCTATTGCTGTTGTCTGCATCTTGGAAACAGTGCAAAATAAATAAATAAATAAATAGCTGAAAATAAGAGCTAGCTTACATCACTTGGCCTCTGGCTTTGAAGGTATCATCAGCAAGAGTAAATTAGTAAGTGAATACCACACAGAAAATTATCTGTTTCACATTATTAATCTAACCCAATTCCTCAAACTACCAACTTTATGGTCATGATAGTAAGGAAAGAGAGAGCAGCTGAAATGTTGCCTAATAATGAATTTTATAGATGTGAAATTCAAAAGTTCTTTATTGACAAAAAACAGAATTGGAAATAACCACAAAATTCTGTCAGTACTCTAAAAAGGACTTCACTGGTAACATTTTGAAGATAAACCATAGTGTTCATTCAAGAAATATACCCTTAACTGATTCCTCCATCAGAAAGCAAAATCTCTACATTATTTGAACCCTTTTTATATGACAAACAAGTAATTGAAACACTTTTTCCCCCCACACTGATCCTATTGAGCATACTAACTCTTAAAAGTTAATCTGAACTTCAGTCATAAAGTTCACAAACCCAAAGTTGTATCAGCTTGGAAAACATGCATCTCCTATAAAAGATTTGACATTACAAGCAACAGGAATGCATACTCACAAACATATATAGAAAGGAGCCCAACAATTTTGCCACCCTAGCCCTAACATCTCAACTAGTCCAATAAAATGTATCATGCAAGCCAAACCTGTAAATCAGTTTAATTAAATTCTATCACAAGCATTCTTAGAGCTGTTTTCCCCATTCATCTGGAGAGCATTAGGTTGGAAAACACTGGGGGATATAAGTCAAATCTTATGTCAGCTCCTGTATACTAGCTTCATGTTTACTGCCAGGCAGAATTCAAAGTTTTGCTTCTAGCATTTAAAACCTTCAAATAGACCAAGTTGCATTAAGAACCATTTGCTTCCATGTTACCATGCCTGAAGGTGTTTGAGCTTTGCTCTAGGTACTATCACAAGATATTTAGTAAGCAAATGTGTGAGAGAGAACCTTTTCAGTTACTGTTCCATTACTCTGAAAGACTCCTTCAATTAAATTCAGTCATTCTCCTTACCTGTATCTTCTCCCAGAAAAGCTAAGATTCTTGTTGGTTTTAGTTTTATTGCAACACAATGTTTCATTGTTACCAGTTTTAATCTGCACTTTATTAGCCTTGGTGCTCTTAAACTGTATTGTATGTTCACTGATACTGCTTTAGAAATACAGGTAGTCCTCGTTCAGCAACCACAATTGGGACTGGCAACTTGATCATTAAGTAAAGCGTTCGCTAAGTGAAACATCACAATTTTACAATCTTACTTCAGTTTTCCTTTGCTTTGCAAGCCTGCGAAGGTCGTAAATGTGAGGACTGGTTGCAAAGTTACTTTTTCACCACTGTCATAACTGCGAATGGTTGCTAAATGAGGCAGAAGTCACTAAACAAGGACTACCTATAGTTGACTTATACAGAACATCTTTATATAAAAAGAATTAAACTATTTGTGCATGTGATTCAGTACTATCGAAACTTGACTGCTAGGATTTTTTTCTCAGCACTAGCAGGATACAGCAGAGATTAAACTTTTTTTGGCAATCCTTATTACTAAGCTATCTCTCTTCCTCTGTTTAGAAGAACATACAGTGGAACCTCGAGTTACAAATTTAATCCGTTCT